TCAGGCGGTGGAGGTGCCATGAGGCTTGTCATATTCATATTTCAATGTAACATAATCGGTCCCATTTTGAGGGGCACGGGCCACGCTTCGCTTATGTGATAATAAACACTCTAATTCTGACCAGCGAGCGTCTATTGATCTTTTCGGGATACGTTTTTAAAGTCATTCGTTTGTTTTGTTCACTGACCCTACATTCGACACTTTTATACGCCTTTTTGTTTACAAACTTTTCAAATTTACATCCAAAATACAAACAGTAAGAAATGAAGAAGTATTACACTGAGCGAAAGGAAGAAGGTATTGAGTACTACATATTGAATACTATAGAAAATAGATAAGGAAAAATGTTGGAACACTTGATAAAGCAAGATGAATTTATAAAAATTATTATTATTTCTTTATATATATATATATCTCCCTTTGATGGGGTAATAGACTGATCATTGCGGGTAAAAATCATCGAACAATGATAGTATAAATGATGAATGATGAGGATGGATAATTTTTAAGTGGAAGACAAAAATTTGCGGACTATTCTACAAGTGTTTAATATTACAGCTTTTTGGAGAAGGATGAAAGTAAGTGGGTGAAGTTGTAATATCTTGGGGCTAGTGTGTAGGGATGCTGGGATAATACCTGTGTCGTCCACAAAAACTAAAACAGAAAACAGTGAAAACTCCCAATTATTATTACGAGATAATAATTGGGAGTTTTTACTGTTTTCTACCTGCCATTGTATTTTTAGTTCTATTGGCAAATCAGTATATATAGCAATTTTTTCTGTATGTGTGTTTGGTATTGCAATATCTTTATTATTATTTTTTTTATATTTATTATTTCCTCTCGACTTTCGCAGGTAATCTTGGTATGTACGGGCCTAAGCCAAGTACACAACAATGTTCTATTTTTAGGTGAATATACTATATACGTAATCTTATGTTATCTGTGCTATAATATAAATGTTGGCCTAATCTGTTTGTAGAAATTTTCTAACGCGGCATGTGTTTTGAACTACAGCCTTCTGTAGTTGGCAGTATATACTAGGGGGCAAGTTCAGGGTATTTATTGACTGATGTATCTGTTTCGGTATGAGAACTATAGTTGATAGGACGATTGGGACTATTGTTACTTTTTGTAAGTGCCAGAGTCGAGTTATTTCAGTTTGTAATTATTATGATTGGAGAATAAATAGAGGGAGGAAAAAGGTCGTATATATAATTTGTATTCATTAATATGATTGTTTGTATTCTTCTAGGTGTTTTTATGTATATTAAGTATTTACAAAAAAATGTATCCATGTATTATTATTATTGACGACCTCGGTGGTCTAGCGGTCTAGCACACCGCTTTACGTCCGATGGTCGCGAGTTCGATTCCTCGCACGGCACAAACATTTGTATTCATGAGTATAATTGTTTGTATCGGTCTGGGTATTTTCTATGTATAATATGTATGTATTTACGAAAAAAAAATATCTATGTATTTGTATCAGTTATCTAGTACCCGTAACACAAGCTTTATATAGCTTAACTTGGGACTAGATGGCGCTGTGTGAATTGTCCTGAGATTATTATTATTATTATTATTATCAGTAACACTAATTCTGCTACCTTGTGACTAGATGGCGCTGTATGAATTGTCCTGTGCTATTATGATTGTTAAGCGGTATAAAATGTCTTATATCAATATGAATTTGACTTTTTTTCGCATTTGTTGTCTCACCTACGTTTTACACAGCTTTCCTGTAAGCCGCGTCTTGAAATTAATCTCATCGGCTTACAAAACTCATCCTATCCTTTTCATGTTACAGGGAAATTGTGAACAAAATGTCTCCAGAGGGTGCCACAGAAGTCAGTTTCAGGAAAGTTCACATCGCAGAGTTGACGTTAACAAATTAGTTTACCTTCGAACATTGAAAGTAAACTTAACGTTTTGAACATTTTAAATCATCTCACAAATTAGTCTATTGCTTGCCGCTTTCTTGTTTATTTTCTATGATATTAATAATTAAATTAATTAAGCTATTTTGATAAATAATAAATGTAGGCTACCAACCTCCTTGCAATAACTAGCCATGTAAAACAAACACAGTTAATAAAAAGTATATTGCCAAAATGTCAAATTCATTCACTTGCTAATGACTGATTTAATATGTTGTTACAATAATTATTATTTGTTATTTTTAATTCTGATATTATATACACCGTCATATATTCAATCTTTTATTAATATCACTCGTTCTGTATATCAACACGTCAACATAACCACGTATATATTGGGGGGAAAGGGGATTGTTAGCAATGTGGACTAAAGATCCCATTGCAATGTACCATGTCAGATCGACCTCCACGCGGTTCCTCCTCATGTATCACCATCGTGATACATTTCCAGTGAATTTGTCACGATGGGCTAACTGATCTGACTTCATGTTCATCTTATCATCCTCCACTGGTGCCCCGCCAGCGTAAACCGTTAGCACAGGCGGGTGCAACATTCCATTATCATCCTTTAAAAAAATCTCATACATTTAGTTAGACTGAAAGTATCATGGACTAATTGTTTATTGCGCCGACTTAGACTCCGAAGGCAGTGATATCAAATCTGATCATCACGTCAGTATGCTTTTAATAATTACACTAATAGCTAGTTATAATAGTAGAAAAACGGTAAACGGGCTAATAAGTTTTTAAATATAAATAGCGAAGTGTAAGCATGACAAGTTTTAAGTTCCCGACAACTTAAACAGTAAGATACCTTGATTGGAAAAATCTGCAGTTTTTGCCAAACTAAAGAGAATACGCCACTACACATCCTATATGGCTGTAGCCCACTCATGTACAAACGTAGTATCTTTTGGAAAGTACACTCTATCACGAGGAGATAAAAACCATCGCTCCTAAGAAAATCCTTCAATTCTTGTCTCTGATGGGTTTAGGTGGTGGACTCTGAAAAAGGCCCAGTACAATAGCTCTATGTAGGTCGCAGTGCTACAGGTCCAATTACCTGGCTATAGCCCAGAAAACCTAATAAAAAATCCTCTGGCTACACCATCTGGGTTTAAGACGTGAAGGTATAATTATATTTACTTATTACAGTTTTAGAGATCCTATTATAGCACTGTAAGTTAATTTTCACAGGTTGAAGGAGGGGCCTGTTCACCCTTTTGCTTAAAATGTACCATGTCGGACTGACCTGCACGTGGTTCCCCTTCGAAACCATCAAGTTAAATTCCAGGTGAATATGCCACGACTGGTTAACTGATCAGACCTCATCTTCATCTTGTCATTGTCCACTGGTGCCCCGCCAGTGTAAACCGTTAGAGCTGACGTGTCCACCATTCTATTATCTATACATCTATACATATATATAAAATTGGAGTGTCTGTTTGTAATATTTTATTTAATTTATATTCATATGCATGCAGTAAAAAACGGCGAAATAAACGTTTTTTACTGCATGCATATGAATAAAAATACTGTAGATACACCAAAATATATTTTTTTACAATTTTTGTCTGTCTGTCTGTTTGTTCCGGCTAATCTCTGAAGTGGCTGGACCGATTTTGACGGGACTTTTTTGACAGATAGCTTATGTAATAAGGAGTAACTTAGGCTACTTGTAATTTAGAAAAACATAGTTTAATTCCACGTGGACGAACTCGCGATGCAGCTAGTCATCCATAAGAAAATATACACAGGTGTAACATGTGGATTTTAAGTGGTTGGTATATTACAAAGGGTGGCATATAACGCATACATTTTAGTTAATTGTGAGTAGCTTCCTTTATGACTACCGTATCATTGTCATTTTACTTAATTATTAAGAGCCTCATAATCTCGCAGATTATCTCGGCTGTAGAATCTTGGAAAGTAATAACAGAAACTTGACGGGCTCGCAACAATAGTGAGCCAAGTGCGCAGGACGCAATTTTTATATTCCTATTATATTTTGTACATTCATTAAACTGTTTTTCTATTGTTCTGTTATTGTTACTTCATTTTTAAAATACAATTTATTATTAAAAAATATTAGTAGATTGTGTTTGACAATGAGAATTTATATTCTTATATTATTCTTATAGGGTCTGTATAGACCTTAAAAATTGTAATCAAATCTAACCTACATTCAACTTATAATCACAATCATCTACTGAACCAATTTTAAAAAGTCTATCTATCTTATAAGGGTATATTGCCCTCGAGGGCTGTATAACAATAGGATATGACCAGTAGGAGCAGAGCAGCAATGGAAATATTATATTCGTATCGAATGCTTCATATGCGTAATGGTTTTTTTGTGGAGGATAATGGAATGGTGCACCCGTCTGCGCAAACGGTTTACGCTGGCGGGGCACCAGTGGAGGATGATAAGATGAGTATGAATCAGGTCAGTTAGTCCATCGTGACAAATTCACTAAGAATTTATCACGATGGTTTCCAGGGGGAACCGCGTGGAGGTCAACCTAACATGGTACATTCCTAGCAATGGGGTAATTACTCCACTTTACTAACGATACCCTTTCCCCCTGCGTAAATGGTTAAGGTTACGTAAAAAATATGTATAAAGATATTGTTGTCTTTTTAAAGGTTTAAAATAAAGTATGCGTATATATCTTTTAAGGTTAACTTATTGTAATATTTTACTAAAATAATGCATTTGCGAAACTGTTTTTACTAACTAAAACGTGTCGAATAGTTTAAAAGTTAAATATTGGGCCCATGCGACAAAATATAATGTTAAAGATGTTTACTTACTAAAATGTATCGAATAGTTTAAAAGTTAAACAAATGTTGGGCTAGTGCGAAGTCTAGCTAGTGCGAAGTGCGGGTTGCTAGTGTTATATAAAAAATCATTTATAATTTACTTTTTATCTACATTTTTTTCTGTGCTGGGATCGGCAACACGGTCGGTTGTTTGTATTTTATGTTGGGCTAAAAAGGACTTGTATCCAGAGCCGTAAAATATTAAATAAAAAATGAAAAATAATTTATAGTACTTACTCGAACACGACGCATGGCAGCGACGATTTCAACGCGACTGGAGGGTCGCGGCACGTCCATAGTTCCGATGTACTGTGAACAATAAAAAGATTCAAATTAGTATAGAAAATACTACAACAGTTGTTACTGTTGTATTTTTTTTTAATTAAATACAATTTTCCACAGACATATTCGTATATTCAATCTTTACGACTGACGACTAGCTGTACCCGCGACTTCGTCCGCGTGGAATTTAACTTTATGATTCTAAAATAAAAGATTTTTTCTAAAATATAAGTAGCCTAAGCTACTCCTAATTACATCAGCTACCTGCCAATTTCTCATCAAAATCTATCTAGCCATTTCAGAGATTTTCCGGAACAAACAGATAGACAGACAAAAATTGTAAAAAAACATATTTTGATATACCGTATTTATATTCATATGCATGTAGTAAAAAACATTACAAACAGACGCTCCAATTTTATTTATATGTATAGATGTATAGATATTGTCATGAATTTGGTATAAATTATTATTATTTAAAAATAAACCAATTGAACAATAATTATCATTATTCTCTGATTACGAAGGTTTAAAAAAGAACACTATTAAACCGTGGGATTACTATTTTTTTTTATGGATGATAATGGAATGGTGCACCCGCCTGCGCTAATGGTTTACGTTGCCGGGGCACCAGTGGAGGATGACAAGATGAACATGAGGTCAGGTCAGTTAGCCCATCGTGACAAATTTACCAGGAATTTAACACGATGGTGTCCAGGGGGAACCGCGTGGAGGTCAACCTGACATAGTACATTGCTAGTAATGGGTACAACAGTCCACATTACACAATCACATTCCCCCCTGGGACTGCTATTATTAAGATAGATCGAAGTTCGGGTAATGTACACGTAATAAACTTGTAGATCATTACATGACACTTGCTGAATTTCCAAGGGTTAGGTTAAATCTTTCATCTAATACCGCTTGCATATCACGTACCCACCTAGAACGCCGGGGTGTGAGCAGCATAATAATAGAATTATATCAATGTCACAGACCCTGAGAGTATAATTTATTTAAATCGATATTTAATACAAAAAATTCTCTCCATATGCAATTTAATAACAGCTGTAGAAGAAAGTTTTTTTAGCATGGTAATAGTAGTGCTGGCGGCCTATCTAATAAAGTTGAACTTCATTTCAGTTGTAATTTACTTTGTACAAACAGTACTTCCAGGAATTGAGTCAACTAAATATGATTAAGTAAATTTGGATTATAAGCAATAATAGTGACGGATAGTTAATATTTTAGTAGACCTCGACAGTGTAGCGGTGTGACACACTGTCTTAGTTCCGATGGTCGCGGGTTCGATTCCTCGCACGATACAAAGATTTTTATTCATGAAATTGATTGCAGCTGGCCTTTACAGCTTCACCGGACGTTAGGGGGCGAGTGCAGATGGCACTCCAAACGCGCGGAAGGACTTATAGAGCGGCTGAAGGCCAACTCCTGCCTGACGGATACGACTTTAGTCTGAGGGTTACTAGGGGTTCGAACTTCGGCTTAGGCCGTCGTAATATCGATCCCCGTTTGAATTGGACGGGGGATCGATCGGAGGGGATTACCAGTATAGAAGATAATCGTATTTTCAAATTCAGAGCAAAGACCGATCTGTTAGCCTCGAGGCAGTTTCCGGTTAATTAAGGTAGTGGTTAAAATCATTCAACAACGACACGATTGCCTTTACCCCGACCCATGTTGCATTGTGATCGGTTTGTGGATCGGAACTGAAATTGTGACTGTGGTAGCACATATAATGTTTTAGAACAAATTGATATTACTATTTCGGCAAAACACTCTCTTATAATCCTTTAACGACTCCGCAAGGGATCTGCCTCTTCAAATATTAATTTTAGACAACTACTAGTATTATCAGAGTAATATACAATTTACAGAGCGCCATCTAGTCTCAAGCGCTTCAAGCTAAGCAGTGCTTATGTTACGGGTACTAGATAGTTGAAAAAAAGTAATATAAATGCATTTCTTTTTCCATAAAAAGAAAAATACGTACATATTATAAATAGATAAAACCCCGACCAATACGAACAATCACACTCATTAACATAAATATTTGTATACTACGAGGAATCGAACCCGCGGCCATTGGAAGTAGGTGTGTTAAACCGCTAGACTATTGAGGTCATAGTAGCTAGTAATAAAACAGAGAACGGAGTTTGTTATTAGAAAACTGAAAACTTGCTAATGGTTCAAGGCACCAAAATATAATAGTTTTTGTTCTTTCACGCTAAAACTGAATTGATTTTAATGGAACTTTCAGAATAAGACATAGGCCGTATATTTCATGCTGGTACTAATTTTAGTAGCCCGTGGCGCTGCTAAAGTTATTAGAAAACAAAGATAAAATGACTTTATTGTTTGTTAAATATTGCATCTATTATTAAACATTATATTATTACTACATCCAATAATATACGAACAAGAACGAACGAAAATGATTTATTAACAATTCACCGCGATCTTTTCATATTAGAAAGGTCATCATATTAGGCAAATTAATTATGCGAAATGCGGTGGTTAATATACATCAAAGACCCTCATAATTAATCAGAATGGGATCAAAGTAGTTCCCCTCTCAAGGCTTGCCCGTGAAGATAAAACGACAGGACTCCATTAGTATGCCTTTTAATATATCTCCGTCTTTATATTTATTAATTTTAATATTTACAACTAATAATTAATTTAAAACATGTGTTAAGTCATATTTACTGAGTAAAACGATTACTTAAATCACGCACTTATATGGAAATAGTTGTTCACGCACAGTATTTTTATTGAATGTTATAAAGAGGCACCAATAAAAGCATAAAATGTAAATAAACTGGCTTAAAAAAAGTATTTCACTAGAGTTTCTTGGCAGTTCTTCTCAATTGAATTGTATACTGGACGGCAGGGAAGGAATAATTACAAAAAACATGATGTTCATAAGCGGCTAAAATACATAATTAATGTTTTTTATTAATGTCTTTATTAATATTGAATTTAATCATTCGGATACCATTATTCGGTGAAGACTCTAACAATTTAGATAATCTTAAATCTTCATATAAGTTTTATTTAATTTCACTAATTTCATAATAGATGACGTTGGATGGAAAGGAGACTAGGTATACTAAGGTTAGAATCAGTAACTTCCACATCCAAAATTACATACATTATTATATTAAATTATAATTGTTGCTTTAACGAACAAAAATATTTGAAATATACATATATATAAATATAAAACTTTGCGTATTCTTCTATATATGACGAGCTATACGTAACAACTTAAAATATCCTTAATCCTGACATCAAAACATTCATAGTATATATTATAAATAAACAATGTTTTTTTTTTAAAAAACGATATAACAGATAATTTATATGCTTACCATAGCAAGTACTGTACTATGAAGACAATTAGAAAAAATATTATTGTTACTAAATAACACTCAAGAATAAAATCACGCAACGTCCAATTTGCTATTAATCGCGCGTAGGCGCTTAAACAAGGGCTTACACAGAAATTATTGTCTATTTTTTTTAATCTTTTGAAGTGTATCAATTATTATATACTCATAAAATACAATTTCTCGTAAGTCTATTACTATTGTTACTCATATAATAGTAAAAAAAGATTTTGGAACTCTTGAATTTAATCTGTCTAATTGAAGTGGAAGTCTGCCTAAGTTGCCCGAGTAAATAATACCTCCATCAGACGTATTTCTGTAGGGAAATAGCAATATATGCAATGCAAAATTCAATCCCATAGCAACATGCGACTATATTTAAATTACGGTACTTATATTATTATTATTATTATTAATCAGAAGTACCTACGAAAAGAACTCAAATCTACCTCTACCTATATACTCTACCTCTCTATGTATACTCTACCTCTCTACCTATACATATATATATATACTAATGCATTAAGAAAAATTGTAGGCAGCATTTTGCCAGTGACAGGCTTTTAAACTGGCTCATTTAATTATGTAACAATTTAGTATTTAACATCAAAGCATTAATTTTATCATTACTCAGAAAATGAGATTAGCTTTGACTTTCGCGTTATGAATAAAATACACAGATCACGAATGAAATATTTGCATAAATGAAATATCATTGTTCATACATCTCCGCTCAAAATACGTTAAACGGAAAAATATGTGTTTTATAAAATACACTTGTCTTATTTATTTCTTTAAATTATGTGAAATCCCAATACTTATAGTAATTTTTATTAATTACAGATACTTATCACACTAATATTACAAAGAGGAAAAGTTTGCATGTTTGTTTGTTTGTATTGAATAGGCTCCGAAACTACTGGACCGCTTTGAAAAATAATTTCACCATTTGGAAGCTACACTATCCCTGAGTGTCATAGGCTATATTATATATCCAAAAACATTAGGGATCCTTACCAAATCTCCAATAATGTAACCCAAGGTGTAAAAAAATTACACAAAAATTACCTAACACCGTATGCGCTGCGAAAACTATTGATGTTAGAACAAAATTATGTAGTACAACTTTGCAGAGCACATCATTATCTACAAAAAGTGTCGCGACGGCGTATGTCTATCTATTATAGTTACGTCACAATAAGTGTTTTTTTTTCTTTATAAATTTTATTTAAGTGCTGTCGCTTGAAAAGCGTCTTTATTTTGTAAGCAAGTATAGTACTTTTGAGATTGAGATTGAGATTTTTGATATTATTCTTATATTACTATATTCTACCTCGTGCAGTTTATGTTGCATACTTTCACAATCAAGTTGTATAGTCACCAACGAGTAAGTCATAGAAATTACAATGATCGAGATTAGTAAACTATCGCATATAGAATAATAACGTTGACCTTCTGTTTCTTGTTTGCATTCCATTTTCATTAAAAGTATATTAACGCTTAAATTTTAAGTTAAATTATTTTTGTGTAAAACAAATAATTTTACCCGCTATTTCAATGCTTAAATTTAAGTTTGTGACTGAAACATAGTGAAATTGCCACGCGGATGTACAATTA